AAAAAAAAAAAAAAAGGTTAATCACCTATCCAATACTGCATTATATATTAATAGTTTAGATCAATTATCATTAAATAAAATTATATACCAATATAATGTTAAATTAACTGTACACATGATAAAAATCAAACTTAAAATCTTAAGATAGAAATTCTCTCAAATTTTTAATAGGTTAATATGATATCTTTATTTTTATTTTTTAAGAATAAAATAAATAAAGATAAAAATTATTTTAAATTCTTAATCATAAAATAAAAGTTCAAAAAAAAAAACCTATTATTTAGAAAAAAAAAAGAGTATAAAAATTTTATCTGAAAATATGACAAAATTCGAACTTTTTACAAATCAAATATCCCAATTACATCTGTTGCAACTTTTTAATATTGTTAGTGATATTGTTTGGTTTTTCTTCAATAGGCCTACGATGGTCATTGCCAGGAGAGAATAGTTGGAGTTCAATAATAAAGCCGTTGATTCTGTCGAGACGCGTTTTCCTTTAAATAATATGGGCACTACAAACAACAAACACGCCGCTGTGCTTTAGATGAATGTTTAAAAATAGGGTTAAGGCCATCTATCGTCCCTCTACTATCCAAAATAGTGCATTCTAAACCTTTTACTATGGATTGGCTTCATGTTGTTCCTCTACTATCAATTAACTCTACCTGTCATCCCTCTACAATGCAAAAGCATGCAAATGTCGTCCCTCCGTCCAATTAAGCTAACGGTCCTATTTATTGACCGTTAAGTGCAAACGGTCACACCCTAATTATTGATCCTTTGACCGTTAGTGCAAATTTTCCACAGCCTGCTCCCATTTTTCCCGGAAAGTAAATCATTTTCCTTTTACAAAGTCATGTGAATATGAGAGCAAAGGGTTAACTTTGAACCAACGAGGGATTGGATCAAGTGGTAAGCGGCTTGTTCCAGCTTAAGCAAGATCTCGAGTTCGAGACCTTGTGTACGCAGTAGCCCCCGTTGGGAGACTCACCCACCATTTCCAGGTGCGCGACGCGGGTCGGGTCCGAATTAGTCGGGGCGAAACCTCGGATATCGGGTGGGAAACCAAAAAAAAAAAAAAAGGTTAATCACCTATCCAATACTG